CTAAACAGTCTGAAGGCTGATAAACCTGCGACTTATCACAACAAGAAACCTGTAGCTCTTTTAAAATTGAACTATTATCCTTGTGCATCCAATAGTGTCACAGGTGAGTGAAGCTACTCACTCTAAAACACACCATGTGCTGTCGTGGTATTGTGGAAGACTGGCAGCATTTTATGTCCTGCGATGAGACCACATCGGTAATTTTTCTTTAAAAAAAGCGTTTCCATTTTTCCTAAGAGGAAGAAATTCTTTAAGAAGAGTGGATCTGAACCTAAACCTAAACCTTACACCCACTCGGTCAATGGAAATCCATCTGGGGTTAGGGTTAGGAGTAGGACGCGGGTACTTTTAAATGTAGTTTGAGTACTTAAAAATTCCATTTCAAATACAAGTAAGCAGAACAAACAAGGCCTTAAGTTTACCAGTACAAAACTACTTGATGTATTCACAATCGTCCTATATTTTTTGTTTGAATCTGCATACTAATATAAGAAACGAAAAGGAGGCATAATCCAAATTGAAAGCAAAAGCCTTAAAACTATCTAATGACATACTAATGTCCTACTTTAAAGGTTCCCCTGTGTGACAAAGTGAGCTTTGTGATGGCAGGGCATCAGGCACTTCATTAAACAGTAAAACAACTTGAATTTGCTGCAGTGGCCTCTTACTTGATGCCAGAGCATCTTTCTGAGGGGGTTCAGTGTCCACCAGCCGGCGTTAGTAATTTATAACACTTGTACCTCAGAGGCCCCAACAAGGTCCTCCAACCTCGTTATGATGAGTTTTCATCACACACTCGCTAATGAAAACACGAGCTCTCATCTTTTAATTATGAGACGAAGTCTTGGACACCCAGCACCCTCACTGTTACCTCACAAGCACAAATAACCACTGATGGTTGCAGCCTGCTGCTTTTCAATGGGGCAAGGTTATGAAAATTCAACCCCCACAGCCTCCGTGACACACAATGGTCACAACTGTGTAAACGACTGAATAATTCATGTTATGGCAAGTGCAATATTTTCTTATCGCTGGTTTGAAAAACTTTTGGACCCTTTGTGGAGGTGCCAGAGAGGACGCATTGAAACGCCCTAGTTTCTCACCACGCATCCCTAAACAATTAATGCTCATGGCTCCTCTCGTGGCAGGCCACCAAGCCCATCATTAAGCAGAAATAGCGCTAACGCCACAATGTCATACGACATCTTGTTAGCATTTCAAAGGTGCTTCCCTCCTCCCTCCTCTTTATCCACGGCCTCTGATACACCATGTCGTCCACTGCTGTGCCAGCCTTTTTTAGTAATTCATGAAATTTACACTCGGGAGGTGAGAACAAGGTCTTTCGACCTCATTATAACATTTTTTCATCACTCATTCTCTGACATCTCTGAAACACGCAGCCCCCATCTTTGAGCATTTTCATGTGCCACCCAACTATTAGTGAGCAGCAGTTCACTGCAGTGCAGAGTGCAGAAACCTAAAGACAAAGGTCCAGATTCTGGTGTTTGAAGGTGCCAAAGAGAAGCTGATTTTTTTTTAACAAATTACTTCGACAAGTATTATGTCAAAGCTCTAATCTGTCATGTCTTCTGCTGTACTTCCACCTTACAATGAGGAAAGAGCAAACGGATACGGATGTACCTCTGGTCAGAGTGGTGGGCGAGGGTTTCTTCGGGAGTTCTGAGAAGCTGCTTCCATCCAGACCAGAACTCTTACACTCCTTCTTGTCAGTTGCTGTTGGAGCTGAAGTTTCCATGCTGCTCTTCAATTTCTGTCACAAGCTGCAGAGGCAAGACACACATAAGAACATAAGGTCAAAAAACTGATCAAGGAAAACATCATGTGGTGAAGGAAGTACTGCGCTGAACTCAAAGTCCTGCAAAAGCAAAAACAGCGTAATAATAATAATAATGATACAGAACAGTCAGACAGTTGTATTAATGTATTGTAGTAATGTATTAGTGTTCTGTCATTCTGGGAAATCAACTCGAAAAAACAATTTTCTTGCATTGAAAAATATTTAAACATTGTCCTTTTCTTCTAACGAGCGAAAAAGATTCTCATCATTCTCACATCTAGCACACCAGCTCTCAAACTTTTTCTTGCATGCCCCACTTCAGAAACTCAAACTAATTCCCACTTTACAGTCCACATTTATCTTCAATTATTAACATGAACAGTAACAAAAAAATAAAAGCAAAGAACAAAAAACTGACCCCTTACAGTGGGTCAAATACCCCAACAGAGGGGCCCACCCCACAGTTTGAGAACCGCTAGACTAACAAAAACAGAGCTAAGTTTAACAAAGCACAAATGTTTCCATTCACAAGCCAAACAAACTTCAACAATCTTTAAGCTACAAAATAGAATTTAAGTTGGAAAAAGACCCAACATTAAAATCTGGAGATTGTAGAATTGCACAGTTGGACTTTCAGGAAGCCAAAGATTAAATAAGTAAATTACTCTCAGTAATTGCTGCTGACATAACAGACGGCACAGGAAGCAAGAGAGGTGATTTTTTTTTTTCATATTGAACTAACAAAAACTGTCTTGCTATAGTGTGTTTGTAGCATATCTCCATAGGTGTGCATATGTGTTTATTGGGCCAGTGTAACCGAAAAGCCTTGAACACACCCACACACACACACACACACACACCCTCAGGTTTCTCAGTTTGATGTAATGAGTTCATGGAGCCCCTTCTGTTCCAATTGTAAATGTGAGTGGCCCTCAGCGCTGAGGTTTTAGCCTCACGCACTGTGTCAATACCTCCTCATGTCTGTGTGAAAGGCTCGATGACTTGGCAACCTGCCACTTGTTTGACTTGGTGGGACCTACAAGATCATCCTCTGCTGAGAGCAAATAAGACCCAGTCTCTCCATCCACCTCCCCCACCAGCCCCCCACCACCGGGCTGGCCTAGAAGGGAAAAGTCATTCTCCGCGCTCTGGCGAGCTTGTGGTCGTTGCTTTTCCACATGGTTTCAGACACTGGTGAGAAAACGTTTGTCGCAATGCTGAAAAGACAAGAGAATGAACAACTGCATGTAATCACAGGGAGGTGTTGGGTCTGCAGGTTTCTGTCCTCTCCTCACACCTGTTTGCAGCTAGCTGATTAAAACAACCTCAGATCTTATAAACCAAATGTGTTTATGACCTAATGTGTGCCCAAAGAACACAAACAACATCCAGAGGATATTAATTGTTGCTTATATACGAGAAACAAATGTGATTTTTGGCTGCAAAGAAACCACAAAATAATTCAGTTATACACAACAACACTCCGCTCACTTTGTGTTAGGGAGGGTCACCCGATCCATCCCAAACTATAAGCTTTTTTAGAAAGCTTATATCTTAAAGTTTGAAGTCTAATCTTAAAAGCAGAGAGGGCGTCTGTCTTCTGAATCCAAACTGGGAGCTGGTTCAACAGAAGAGAGGCCTGATAGCTGAAGTCTCTAACTCCCATTCTACTTTTAGAATCTCAAGGAACCACAACTAAGCCAGTGCTCTGTTGGGATTATATGATACTGTGAGGTCTTCAAGATAAGATGGGGCCTAATCAAGAGAAGAAGTATTTTAAAATTCAATTCTGGATTTTAAATTGCGCCAAAAAAGAGACGTTAATATAGAAGAAAACGGATCTCTCTTTCTAGTCCCAGGTAGTCGTCTCATTGTGTATTTTGGATCGACTGAAGGCTTTTCAGGGAGCTTTCAGAGCAGCCTGATGATAATAAATTACATTAGTGGAGCCTAGACGTTGTAACATATTAAAACACGGGATGGTGTGACACCAGATAAATACACAATTAGGAATGTGGAGAATGATACTGTCATTCAAATGGAAACCTAATTGCTCAGTGATCTGGTTCCTGCCAGGCAAACGTGTGAAGCGTTGTTTTCGGTTTCATGTGGATTTCCAACATGTCATGCTTTATTGTGAGGTGTGCGTACTAGCAGCCATGTCTGTTACCCTTCGGAGGTGCCAGTCGCCTGTCAGTGAGCCAATGTAAGCCGATTAGAGGTGGGCGACTAACAGGTTTAGGCTACATCTGTTTCTTTTTTTCTGCTGCCAAAAATGTCGTTGAGCTCGCCAGCGAGCCATCTCGTCTCTGAGAAGTCCGTCACTCTGACATCACCTTAGTGATAGAATCTAATTTGCTCTTTCACGGGCCTTTATCGTGTTTAGACTTGGCCAAAAAGCCGACTAGTTTTTGGTGGTGATCCCTGTTGGCTCGGATAAGATGTGCCCATGAACAGACCAGAGCTCGGAGCAACCGCGTTCGCCTTTCAAGCAGCCTGACTGAGAATCCTCCCCTTAACATTGCCGCCTGATGAACATCTGGCATCGCATTAATGGCCGTTTCCATGCTTTTACAGCAAGCCAACTATTTGGTTTCCAGTTGCCTCTGAACCTCGAGCCAATACTCAGATTAAGAGGGGTTTGGGGGTGCAAACACCTCCAAGAAATAAAAAAAAATGAATAAATAAAAAAAACAGGCGCAAAAACTGTCAATAACTGCAAAATTTGAGCACATTTTTGAAAAAGTGGCCCCAACTTCACCCTCACTCATCCTTCCTTAATACCTTGGAGCTGTTACATTACACCCTCCACCCCCCTTAACCAATCTCTCCCTACAGACAAGACCCTGTTGCCCCCGATGACAGGGGAGCCCAGTTCTGACGGGCTGGTACAGGTGTCAGGAACTAAGCGGACAGATGGCAGGGGCCAAAGGCGAACAAACAACAAGGGTGCACTTCTTTACTCATCTTCTGGTTGGCTGGGCAGCCTGTCGCAGGATGAGCAGGGTCCCCCCCATCCACCCTCTGGTGTCATGTGACCACAGGCTCAGAGACTTCAGAGGGCAGAGCAGGCATCTGATTGAGTCTTCTTTTTTTATGTTACACCTGAGCAGAACCCAGGCTTTTAAATTTATCTGGTCTCTTACAGGACGGTCACTGGAGGCGATGTTCTACAGACGGCCTCAAAATTCTGATGATCGAGTGATTTCTAGGAAGTGCAGAGCTAAAAACACCACAGCAATGTCAGTCTAACAACAAAATCCCAAAACAAGACTTGTGCAGATTGCAGTTCTAAATGATTTATTTTGTTCATCTGAATGCAAAGCTGCTTTTCTTTGCCTGTGGTTAAGGCCAGACTAACCATATCCGAAACCTTAAGCTTCACAGCTTCACTTTCATCTTTGTTCTTGCTCCTTCCTGCCACAAAAAACTGGATGACTTTCCCCACTTTAGTGAATTATCTTGCAAACATTCAAAACTGCTATTTAGAAGTGAGCACAGACACAAAGAAACCCAAATCCATCCTTTCCTGTCACACGCAGTCTGCTGAACATATTCTAGATTTATAATAAATTATTGTATTTGATGATTCATAAAAAAGGAGTAGTTTATAGGAGAGATTGCACATCTTGATTTTCCTTCCCCAGGACTTTGCTATGATGGACGGTCCAGGCGTGCCAGTAACCGCACAAGGCACCAGAAAAAGACTGAGGTAATGGGGAGTTGTCACTGATATGTTTTCTGCTTCGAGGCTTAACCTCTTAGCATCCATCAGGTCACCTAGGATTAGCGTTCAGTTAATGTCCCCCCATTTTCATTGACGTTTTGCCTGTTTGGAAGATCAAATGGAAAACTTTAACACAAAAAAACTAACCCCAAAATGTCTGACACCTCATTTGAAATGTATCATCTTCTACTTTATATATTTAAAAAAAGGCTATTCAGCATGTGGCTAAAACCAAACCAAGGCCTAGATGAGCTGCCAGTGACCTAAGATCATAGGAGAGCCATATCATTCCATTTATTTCTGAGCAAAATCATTTGTTTTGGGAGCAACGATGAAAGCAGTAGTGAGAAAAATCGCCTGCTTAATGAATTTGCTCTTCATGTCAGGATTGATTTTCCCCTGCTCTCGCCTGCTTTTGTCTGAACTCCTCTTCCGCTCTCTGTTAATTTACCTTCTGCCCCCTTCGTCTCAGACTCGCAGGACTTTTGTTATGAGACCCGGTGTGTGTTTTTCTTAGCGCCTCGTTCAGTTTCAAGTGTTCCTCTCCTCCACTACCGTTCAACAGCTCCCCTTTCACCAACACTGAAAGGAATGCAAACACACATCAAAAGAGGCCCTCTCATTTTGAAGATTTCCAGGCTTTGCTCTTCTTACTTTCTTCCTTCCTATCTTTCAGTGAATGCGATCCGTATGCTGGTAGGCTCTCTTTCCTGGCAGCGCGCACACACACACAGTCAGTTTCTCACACCAACTGCTGTCCCACACTCTGCTCACTTGGCAAACAAGGGACAGACGGATAAGTGAGGTCTCCAGCCCCTATGCCACCTGCAGACCTCTCTGCTCAGGTTTCTGATGATGACACTCATGCAGGTTAACAAAACAACTAAAATGAGCCAAAATATGGTTTTGTTTTACATATTTTTGGATCTTCATCACACATTTTGTTTTGGAGCCATGATTAAGATTAAAGACTTTTGATCTTTTGAGGTATTGTAGACTTTGGATTGTATACTACTCTTCATATTTTCTTATTTGTCACCTTTAACATCTTTAACCCTTATGAGTACCTCCTGATCTGCCATCTTTTTGGTTCAGGTTTGGTTACATCTAGGTGACTAAGCCTTTTAGATTAAAGTTGTCCTATGACAGGGATAATTCACATAAGCTGAAAAAACTGCTAAACCATTTTAAGTTTGCTTAACTAAAAGTCAGCTCCATAGCGTGACCAGCGGTGGATAGCACTTTTATTTCTTGTT